AGTACGAATAAACAAAATGTTCGGTAAAACGTCTCTATTTAACCAATCGTGTTTTCTTCGTGAAAGAGAAATTACTACAGTATCTAGACGGCTTACGAATGAAGACTGCAGTGACAAACAGACTGCAGTATCAACAAGTGTGTGTTGTGATAACTATCAAGGTGTTTCGTCTACATGTTGAAATTTCCAGCACGTTTGTGATTAGTAATACAGCCATTAACATTTGATTATTAATCCATATCGTCAGAGTGAAGTGTTAAGGAATTTTCAAGCTTTTCCGATTACTTCAAATTTAGTATTGACGGTCTGGTTTCAATCACCAAAAATTTTGAACAGTTATCTTCAATAAGCAATGCCCAGCCTCTTGTGTGACCTGATACTGAAGCCACAACGAGTTGTACTGTAACTCTAGGATTTACGGATTTCGGGTTTTCAGTGAAATATTGGACTCTATACTGGCTGGGCAAACAATGAAATCACTGGATGAATGCAAAAGTCGCCTTTCGTAATCTGAGGAAAATTTATAATCATTGAAAACATCTACACCAATAAAATCCGAATCACAGAATTATCACAGGTGGAGAAACAAACGGTTGTTTGCACACCGACTCTATGTACCTGATACCGAAGCACCTGAAGGAACACACACGAGTCTCGTGAACGAAGTTTGCCACCCACATTTACCATGCTTAGTGAATTCCGTAAACTGTATTGAGATTGTTTGTTGGATCGTTCCTCGTATTTTAATCACAGTAGGAACTATAAATAATCAAACTCGTGATGTGGTCCTGGAGAATATAATTAATCATGACTACTGATCAAAAATCGGTCTTGTTTTTTTCGGAAGTGATATTTTAGTAACTTCAATTTGTTCTGTCTGAATTCTGAGTATTTATACCGACTTTCATCCCCTCTTAAATTTTGATTTATATCTGTTCTCCAAAAGGGCACAAGGCGGAATGTTTTTATAGTTCAAGCATAAGTTCTCACAAAATCTCGATAATTCTCTGCGTTCAAAGTTGTAACATTGTTGCGATAAACAAATGAATATACGAAGGGCATAGATTTTCCGTTTAATTCCGGATATAACACGTAGGCTAATCCTATTTTAGTGACAGAAGTAATAGAGAGTGAAAGTAGCTTCGTGGGATCTTCGAAGACTGCCTCATTTGAGTCGACGTACAACTATCCGAAACCGGACACCACGTGTGATATTCCGCAATGGTGTAATACGGTATATAATAATATCGAAATCAGAGAGAACAAACTGAACACCGATGTATGCAGAATTCAACTCAGTTAAAAAATCATTTACACGAAAGTCATCGGTTGGTACGAATACAACACAAACTGCTTTAAAATTGCCCAGCTACTCACTTAAACTCTCAATAAAATACAGGTGAATAATATTTCTGATTAGAAAAATGATATTCGGTTCAATCTTGAGTAAATTTAGCAATTTGTTGAGCTCAGCATAAACAATATTGATTGTTTTTTTTCAAACTAGAAAGCTAATACAGTGCCTCCGAAGACATTCAGAGACATGCACACTAGTAGGAATGCACCAATTAGTATTGATCTTTAGGACAAGCGTGACTTTATATTATCATGAGAACTCTAACTTCGGTTTATTGATAGAGATCAACAATTATTAAAAATATTACCACTCTGAGTGATCACAATCTTGTAATCAACGTTATGTTCAGCTCCAGATTAGTGTTGATGTGACTTCAAATTGCAATCACCGTTATCGTGAATAATTCTCGATGTGCACTATAATTGAATATCGCAGTCACTGAACAAATAGCTGAGTAATAGCGTCTCAAAATGTGACAGTGGGTTTGAGTTGCGCGGAGTCATCAGTTCACCTAAGATTGTAAGATGTGAAGATTAGCGACAGTTAACACAAAGCCTATGTTTGGTCACATCGATCAGTTATATCCAGGGAGTGATATCAAATGCTTTGGCTGCCTTGTAGTCAACGAGATACTTATCGAGCAATGAATTTATGAGCCTTTTTGAATTAATTAAGCACACAGAGTTATAAAACCTTGTTTTCGTGAACTTATAACGAACCTTATCTTTACATTATTGCTTTAAACGTGCAAACTGAGCAGTTCTCACTCAGTAACGTACATACACTCTGTGTTCATAAGTTAACATCTGGTGGTGTCAATCTTTTTATTAACTAGTAAACTGAGTGTCTACAAGTTTATATGGGATGTGCTTCGATGACAAAGTGAACTGTGGTAACATCGGTGCCCATTTCTTAAAACTTCCTTGGTAACAATCTTCACTAATAGTAATTCAAAGAAATTCCTCCTGAATGTAACTGTGAAATCACTAGACTATCAATAATACGGTACTGAATATTTTGACGGACTCTAAATTTTAAGGAACGGAATGTAAAATACTATGGAGCATGATAATCTGTATCAGCAAACATCCCTGTAAAACGTCATACAAGTCCTGCATAATTTCTGACCATCATAAAATTAAATCAATGTTCTTGATCAGGTTGGTGAGATCAATGGGTAGCCTGAGAACTTGAGACGAACAACTACATTTGATAGGTTCCTGGTCAGGTCCTAACTTTATCAACCCATAAGAATCATATCCCATGATCACTTGTTTTGAAACTTATTACGTTTGTTTGTTCAATCGAAAATCTCGATTTCGCTAACTTTACAAGTTTGATATGGATCCATGTGGAAATTCAGTCTCGTGAGCGGATATAAGTCGATCGCATTATCTTTACACTAGTACCCGATTAATTATTTGTGAAATATAAAGACTTTCATATAGGAGATCCGAAAATCTCTCTACAACACTGAAACAGGGATAGAAATTGATCGGATTCAATAAGTGGTAATGATTATTCCTTCAATGAATATGTATTTACATTCCAAACTTGTTAGAAAATTCGACATTATGTCATTCATTCGGAACCTGATTATTTACCAGCTATTGAATCGTGCTCCACTGATATTCTAAAATAAGTTGTTAAGGATGAGAACCACAGTTCTGATATACTAGAAACTATTACGAGTTCACCATACTCGGTAAACGGAACAAAGAGCAACGACTCAGTGATAGGCTATTCTAATCTGTTTGTCCCAGGCCCTGCTAACTAGATCAAGAATTTCTGATTAGGCGTAGAGAATGTTTTCGACAAGCACCCAGAAAATACAAGGCGTCTAAGCACAAAAATCAAGCTTACTTATACAATGATAGGAACGCCCTTGGGAGAGTCACAAATTAGCGTACTAAAATAATTTACAAACCAATGACTGTCAGAGATTTCCCGAGGGGGACATATAAGCTGAAGCTAAAATGGCGCGAAAACATAGGGATTGAGAATTAAACTACAAAATTAGGACCTTTTCCAAATGAGTTCTGGGGATCTAAGGTCCCCAACAAGTTCAAATACAGAATGCCTCAAGGGTACTTACAGTTTACGTTGAGTCGAACGCTGTCATAAATGAATTCGAAGAAAAATGTTTGATTTTGAATTCAGAATCCGTATTTGTCATTGATTGCCCATGTGTCATAATCAAATAAATTTTGCACAAATCACCTGACTATTCGGTTTCATAAACATCCTGAACATTCATAAGCTAATTCAAAGTAAAATTTTGAGAAAAATAAGCACATATTTCACCGACCAGTAAAGATTTACTAGACCAACTAAAAATTAGAGATCGTGAACACCAATTGTAAAACATTTAGGATTACCATTATAAATTAATATCAATATCTAGGGAGATCAATCATACACTCTAGTTTGAAATATTTTAACATACTACTGTTAGTGACTACCTTTATTTAACTGCCTGATGAAATACCTTCAGTTCCCGAAAATAACTGATAAATAGTGGTGAAAAGTATATGGTAACGCATGGACAAAGCATTTAAAAATAGTGACCTAAGAGCACTCTTACTACACGATGAAAGACAAGGTTTATCTTAAGAGATGGAAACTTGAACTGATTTATGTATGTAAGAAGTTCAATGTTGTTGTTGAATACTTAACTAAAATGTATTCTGCAACAGAAGTGAGAAATAAAAACGTAACAGCATTTCATTTTAAGCTTATGATAACAGTCTACAATTATGCACAGAACACAATCATGAAGGCTCATTTTGTTTCACATAGATTTATTAATTTTTGTAAGGGTTAAAGAAACAAAGTTTATGCTGAGCAATAGAATGCAAACTGAACACAAAAGATAGTGAACAGAGAAAAGATAACTAGTCAACCATTAAGATACTTTTAAAGTGTGAACAGGAAAGTTAGGTCGGAAAAGTGTGCATGAGTGGTAAATATGAAACAAAGAAAACGATTACAGTATCGACTACAAAACGTTAAGCAAAACAGTGAAGGAGGGAAAGCTAGAAACGAAATCATAAAGAAGAGTGATAAAAGAAAAATTAACACAAAAACGCAACGACTAGACCATAATATTTAGTTTGAAAACAAGATGAACAGCCTAAGTCATTAGGGGATATTGAAGAAAGAGATCGGAATAGTCGATAAAAGAATTGTTAAGAGACAAACAAATAGGCAGCTGAGACAAACAATTTGAAGCAAATTTTGCTCTTGTGTTACCCATTAAGATATAATAACGCAAAAATATATATCAAGAGTAATAATATTAAAGTGACAATAAAATTTTGGTACACAAACTCCAGAAAATGATCAAACTCTGAAGGTTATCAAAATGCAAAGTTGGGTTCCCGTAAGACAAATCACGAGTTATGAAAAGCTTTCAAACAGTTAATGAAACTTAGTTTTCTTTCCAAAAAGCTGTCCGGATAGAAATTAATAACGGAAATACAGCAAAATAAGAATTTATCATGTAAGCATACGATGAGACAAAAACAACATCCGATTGCTTCTACATTATGGATGAATCGAGGTCGCATCTGAGTGTAAAACTGATGGAGACATCATAGAAAACTTTAAAATGTTAGGATATTTTGAGTCTAAACACACTTATCTACTCTGTAAACCTGCTGAAGTTCAATTTGACAGGGGAATTACTGCAGTTGGCACTAATTAAATTTGAGTGGATGATAGTTCCGGGTGATGATGACCCAACTGGGCCAAATGTAGTGAAATCAAAAGAGTTGAACTTATCATCAGTTGAATTTGTCATTTCGAATTGAAAACATTTAGGTCCATTAGATGTCATGAATATTGAATGTGGGTTAGGATTGGTAAAGTTGTCACAAACAGAATTACTAAAATTCAAACTACTGTGTGAATGAGATGACAGTTCTTCCTGATGACCGATTGTATACACTGGATCTGTAGAATAAGAATCAGTAACAATCCGAGGACTATGTGAGCTAACCGGAGTTGTTGACATAGACTCAGTAGCGCAAACTGAAGAATTTATGACCACTTCCGAAGACGGCAGTGATAATGTTCCGTTCATAGGGTGGGGATATTGTAAAATATTAGAAGCAACATCACCCTGTAAGAGTCCGGGAGGAGGAACAAACAAAGGTGGGGGCGACGAAACTTGAGCTGAACTCCCGATAGGCAGTTGTCTGGTACTACACAACGGTATAGACCTGGCAGGTAAAACTCTATTTAGAATAGTACTATCATATGACGTGTACCCTCCATTTACACATTTTACACCAAGGGTTTCGAAATTATTGAGTTGAAAGGCATTTGAATCAGGTAGTTTATCCGAACGGAAATTCATTCGATTATTTGTGTGACAATGTTCATTTAGACTTGTTCGATAACCTAGCCCAGTAGTGGTTAGTGACGAAGACGATGGCGAAACCCCGTCGGATGATGGGAGATGACCGAAATAGTCCAAACTATTAAGATTACTGGAATTATTCATTTCAGAAACTGCATTAATTTTTCTATTAGTAACAGAAAAGGGGGAGGTGAAGAAAGGCTTTGGTTTGGCACAAGGATCAACAAAATAAATGCTTGACTTTTGATTTGATAGATTATTCAATGGCGCAGATGTCTCATATGGAGTCAATGAGTAGGACTGATTATAAGAATTCATTTTGTTTGACAATCCAGGTTTAAATACGATTCGGTCTACATGATTGTGCTCATCTATTTGTGTTTTATTTAGGTTTGTGTACATCTGTGAAGTATCAGGAATAGAATATGAATTAATGATACATTCTTCGTCTGGAAAATCTTCCACAGGGATTGAAATGTTTGAAACTTTAGCACAATTCGATGCTAAAGCATTCATTCTGCTTACATATTCACAAAGATTTGGAGTAAGACAATTTAAGCGCTTATTTAGTTCCACGATTTGGTATTCTTTCTTTGTAAGTGTAGCTGGAAGAGTAGTTATATGAAAAAATGCTTGATAATTTGAACAACGAATCAGTGACACCGAAAAATATATAGTAAATTATGAAAATATTCGAAAGCTTAACTCTGGCCTAGTTCACTGTCATTTAATACAATGCTCAGTAATTTAATCAAACTACTCATTTTAGACTATATATATAATCATTTAGATAACGTTACATGGAAATAACATTCACCAAATACTTCAGACTTTTAAATATGCTACGATGTTGCTAACGATGACTGACGCTAAATACCACACGCAAAATGATGAAGAACTAGATCGCTATCACGAATATGATTGGCCTACACATATACAACAAAAGCCTCTATGTTAAAGCTTTTTCAGTTGCCGATGATAATGTTTATCCAGTAGGTAGTTGTTGATCAAAGTGTATTATTGGTCAAGACTTAGATTTTTGGTCTATGGATTGAAGTACAGTCGATTAAGATATGATAAACAGGATCTGTATTGACGGAATTCTTATCTAGTGATTGAATTAAGAGACAAAGAAAATCAAGGACACAACAAGTGATAATTATAAGTGAGAAAGGAGTCTGGTTATTCTTCTCTTTTAAACAAGAAAGTCAATTGTTTTTTGGAATCGCTATTTCCTTAGACAATAATTACTTTGTCTCATATGACCACGGTATCACCTACGTACACAGTTGTGTGCTAAATTGGAATGCATTGACCGGGTTCGTGGAGACAGAAGAACCACCTAAAGAGGTCTGAAAACTCTTACTTCAAACCAAAGATTTACATGGACCCTAGGATCCTTACAGAACGAATGGTGTATGAACCTATTGTTGATCATTAGCTACCATGGGACTGCATGTCTATAGGTTGTTCCACTACCTTGTGGACCAAATTCTCGGGTCAAAGGCTCGGGGTGTGGCCCCCTAAGAAAACCGCCTGTTTCGGTCTGGGAATTCGGGCCTACTCAAAAATGCACTGATACATGTGGTGCATAAATATTCATGTGTTTAAATAAATTATTTAAACTTATCAAAGGTACTGTTTTAAAGTTTTAATACACATTATTAAGTCATAACTTTACTTTTGACAAGTCAACTTAGATCCAAGGTTAGCGATTAGATTAATAAACTGATGCAAGTGTGAATAACTTATTTATTTATATAACTGAGATTTATTGACTATGATATCACTCAATCTGATTGTAGAGAAATATGCAGCTGTAAATGGTTGTTGCTTAATGATGAAGTTTCACGCATGTTTTTTTCTTTTGTATATAAAGTTAATAACAAGACTTACAAGTGAGCAATAGAAGCTAAACCAAACCACAGACAAGATCTTAGACCTATGAATATTCATAGAATTAGATAAGAATAAAAAAATAATCTGTTACATGATAATAAAAATCACCCATAAAACAACTGAAACAAACCATTTAATTCTGTTATCTCTTTTAAGGAAGAATGATAAGCTGTCATAAGCTCTTGTTTCATCTTGTCTTCCTCTTTTAAGGTATCTGTTAGGCGTTGATTTTCCTCTTGCAAAGAGTTTACACGAGAGGCAAGATCATTCAGTTCAGTCTCAGTTACTTCATGTTTTTGCCGCCGTGTGCTCATGTTATAATGTTCTTCTAAAGTTACAGAATTAGATTTTGTTCGTTCATTTTTAGTTTGCTTCTTCGATGCCTTATCAGTGGATTCACATAAACCACCACGTTCAGAGTTCTGCACTGCAAGCTGATTATTTTTCAGAGTTAAAGCTTTTGTGAGATTTTGCAATTCTAATTCTAATTCCTGCCTTCGTTTCGCGCATAATTCATTGTTTTTACATGCTTCAACGGGTGTGGGATCACAGGAATTTAATGAAGTACTTTGAGACTCAGTCATAGAAGCTCTAAAGTAAGAAATTTTTTTATATTTCGAAAGAATAAAGGAGATATATGAGTAAAAGAAGGTTAAATAATAGATTACAAACTAATGATTTCATAACACCTCACTAAATTTTGATATATATAATGTGCACTGCAGCCTTAGTCTAATGATCAACACAATCGTTTGATATGTTACGACGAGAAAAAGATCAGCAGTGGATCGAGTGTACAGTAAAGGTTTCACATTAGCATACTGAACACATTGAAAATATTCTAGCAAAAGGAACTCTGACAACGAACTACCTAAATGTGAACAACCAGACTTCGATTAATAAAATATATATTCTTCGGAGTGTGGTGTACATTTTACTAAAAATTTACATCTAGCTCACCATTTAGAATTGCTGAGTTACGATAACATTTCCTATATCAACTACGTTCAACAAATAAAAAGTAAATTGATGGTGGGTGGTCGCTCAGTATAAGAACGACACACTATGATGTACAAATATTACCTTTCACTAGAACCTTAGGAGATATAAAACATTACCACCTTTTTTACAGACTGGTTACGCATAAAAAGCAGTCCACAATATGTGACAAGACAAAAAGACTGATTGTTGAGGAGGGTATAGACAATCTAAATAAAAACTTACTTACTTGGAATCTGTGGCTCTAGAAATAGCAGGTTCACTAGATGCTGATTCTGAGGAGTTCGCATCTATTTGTTTACCAGATTTCTGTTTAAACTGCTGTTCAAGAAGTAAACGATGTTTGCGCTCTTCGGTAAGGCGTTTCTCAGCTGCCTGTAAACTGGCACGATCCGCCTGTAACACGAAACTCAGTGGCACAACTTAGTGTATAAATGATTTAAAAGATACAATGCTAGTCAAAGTATGTAACTATAAGTTGGAAAACAATTACTTCAGAACACATAATATGGAACAGTGTGATTTCCCGTCGCATATATATATATATATATATATATATATATATATATATTTCTGAAGTCAATATCTACACATATAAGATAATTAAGTTATTATCTCTGAATTAGTAGTTACTGACTGTATGGAGTAATTGCTTGCATATATGAACTGCAGAAATAAAGATGCTTTTGTACATTCCGAAATAAATCGTAATAACAAAACAAAACTAGTACCCCTCATTAAAAAATGGAGAAAATTACCTTAAGATTTTAGGTTTATTTCATTAAAGGAGACATTATGATGACCATGTGGTCTAATAATTCAAATACATCCAGCCTTCGAAAAGATTTTAACTTCAATTCTAATGTGATCTGGTATATCTATACATAGACTGCGTCTGCGTGGAATACAATACAATGGAGGCTGGTTACTGACCCCTGAACTCAAAGAAACGGCAGAGAGAGAATCTGCAGAATAGCGGACTAGTATGGACTTGTTAGTCGAATCAACGTCAGATCATATGACTGATCGTCAGGAGACCGAATTAGAATAAGATTTCTGACCAGTAACTACTACACGTCCAGGAACACAGGCACACATTTTGGCGTCTGACAATAGTTGTGTTACTAGACCTTAAGGCGGCATTCGACTCTGTCGATCGTGAGGTTCTGTGGATGTGTCTGTCACTAAAAGGTGTACCAAAGACGTACATTAACTTTATACAAGCTCTCTACTCGAATATATATCCTGGGACTAGAGTGAGCAATGCTGTTATTAGGAAACGGGTGGATGGCAGATCAATAGATGAAGTAGTGAAACTTCATCAGTTGAGGTGGTTGTGACGTGTGTTACGAATGCCTAACCACCGATTGCCTCGTCGAGCTATATTTTGCGGTGTAGGAATAGGTTGGATGAAAGCTAGGGGCGGCCAGACTAAAACATGGCAGAAACGCATGAAGTCACTGACAAGTGCACTGAGTCATGTAGGTAGGTGTCGACTACCTGGTTGGGGTCTGCGAGATGTTAGTAATCGATGTTTAGAGACCCTGAATGACATGGCTCAAAATCGTTTGCAATGGTGCAGGTGCATTCATGATTTGTGTTCTCCCAAATCTTAAACTTTTTAATTCTTCATCACTTTATTTTTATCTTTCTAAGTCCATTTCACTAGATTCTATTTATTGAATAATATAATATAATAATATATAATCTTAACCCCTCCGACTACTGCTAGTACCTTTGCTACCTCTAGTACTATTGGATTTGAATCGACAATTACATCTGTGTGCTAATGTTGTATGGCAACATGAACTGATAAACGTACGCACGCACGAAGTTCAATGTTGCTATTGATTGATTGATTGATCTGACCGGTAACTAGGCACGTGATATTGATTAACGATTTAAGATACAGGAATACGAAATTTAGGAGAAAATAAGTATGAGCAACGAGAAACTAAACAAATTTTAATGGTACAAATGTTACGACGGTCAAAATAGAAAGGCTACTGGCTGCTTACCTCTAGGTCTTAAACCCTGAATAATTCTTGTTTATCTGATAAGCAACTCAGTAACATTATTTGAATGAATAGTTTGCAAAAAAACAAGGACTTTAATTACGTAATGTGTTCACATATTTGGTCAGATAGTGGTTTTATCAAAAAAATAATTTTGCGGGAATTCATATAACAGTTCAGCAATCATCAGAAAGTCAGGTTTGTAATGGTGGTCTAACAATGATTGATTGATGATTTCAAATGCGTAAAACTTGACACAATCCATGAAATCACAGACAGAATCATGTTCGTAGATATAGACTACCTTGGTTGGGGCTCGCGAGACGAAAGTCACCAATGATTAGAGACCTAGAACGACATGGATCAGAATCGTTTGCAATGGCGCAGGTGCATCCACTCTCTGTGTTCTCTCAAATTCTAACCTTTTGAATTCCTCAACGGACTGTTGCATCTCTGTGCTAATGCGGTATGGCAATCTTAACTTATGTACTTACGTACTAAGTTCTACGTTGTAATTGACTGACAGTTACTACCATATATTTCAATGATACAAGTGAGAAAGTATCTGAGCATTTGTTGATTCTAAAGGCTCTGTCCCCAAGACAAGCGGGAATTTTACGTAATAGTAACTGAAAATTCAACGAATGAATTTGGCCAAAATGAGGGATGAATACTACGAAAAACTGTGATGCCTAGTAGGACAGACCAGCAGTATGTGAATTTTCCGTTTCTAAAATTAAATGAGGAAGAAATTGTTGGAGTAACCTGAGCATTTCGATTGGCCGAAAAACTGGCAGCAAATGTTTAGGTTAATTTTTCTCTAACAATCACTAGTTTCTACAAAAAATAAAGTTCCAGAAGGAATCGAAACATTAGTTGACAAGGTTGTCAGAGAGGGGTTTACTGTTCTGAAGTGACAAAATTATGATAGAAGAGAAGACTTTTAGTTTTTACTAAAACTTGAAATTGATGAGATTGATTTATTTCTATAATAGATTATATAATGGCACCATGAAGATGTCTGATTCACTACATACTTATCATCCTTAACATTTCATTGAAGTGATTCAACTATTTGATAAAATTTATATTTTATACAGTACTGGAGTATATAGTGGTCATATTTATACAGTGATAACAATGATAAAAGTTCAATCGTAAATGACTGAAGCTAATTACTCTGTTATTGTAAGTCGAATAGCCCTCGAGGCAATATATGTACTCCATGGACAAGTGAAAGAGAAAAATGTAAAAGGTTAACAATTATTGACATGGAGAAGTAACAATAAGTGATACAGGAGCTAAAATGTTTAGTAGAGTAATAGTTTATATATTCTATCGCAAAAAACTAGAACTAATCAAGTTGGTACATAACGATGTAATCAAGTATTTACGTATTAAACCTAAGTCAGTTTCCACTGAAAAATAAGAATAACAGTTAATATTTAACACATGAATAAACCATAGTTATGCTGACAGTTTAGTTACAAGGAGGTTTATGTCAGGTTTTCTGCCATCTGACTAATGATAAAAGAGAAAAGGATCTGAGCATCAAAGTGCACAATATGAGAAGTTTATCTTTAAATAACTGACTGTATCACGTATTAGTTAGTTAAATTCAATTATCAAACCGAGTCTAGATCATTTAACATTTGTCTTAATCCGATTACTAGTTCAAATTACATAATTCCTAAACATTTTCTTCATATTACAAGACTGAAGAGAATATAACACGCGTCTTAATGCTGTTTATCCGACTTTATTCTATGTACTTACTACACAATACACCAGAATGAAATACACCCAGCACAAGAAAGAAAGAAGTTGATAAATACAAATGTTGAGAGTAATCAGTAGGAAAGTAAACGAGACAACACCCAGTCAATAGTAGTAGGATAATTAGGAGTAGGAGGATGTGCACATGAAATAATGAAGGCATTCGTTGTGTATCTACACAGTACTACTATTATTCTGCATTTAACTTCTTAGGTAAGAGAGGGAAAAAACGAACATTAAATTCTATTGATGAAATCATATTGAAGAAGTAGGATAAAGTACTGAACTTTGCTTACTTTTAAAGTATTAAATGAATGATAAAAAGTGTAACCACCTGTTAAATTATTTTCTACGATAAAATGACCTGAATCAGGTGTTTGAGCAATAGTTAAATCTTTGAAATAAAATAGTAGAAACTATAGAAAAATTCACGCTTGGGTGTATATGACCTAAAAGACGAAATCAGGTCAACTATGAGAAGTGTAGCAAAATCAAATCTCCAAATATAAGTAAATAATATTAGGAAGGTAAAACACCGGCAAAAGAAAGATGAATAGCACTAATATATATAGTTAAACAATAACCCTAGGTGCATTGGGCAGTAAAATATTCCTGAAGAGAATTACCAAAACAGAGCAACTCTCTTGATCATAAAACTTGACCAAAATGTGGTAATTCGACTGTCGAAATATATATTACCAAAAACATATTTTCGGTACTTTTATTAACGGCCGAAAAATGGTGGAAACACCAAGATCCACTAGCTTTAAGTATTAAAAATTAAGTAATATGCCGATTCGATTATTCCGTTACATAGGTACCAGCCTACTAATACATTCTTGATAGTTAAAAAACTTATCATGTATACTATTCCTCGGATCTAACAAACGAGTAGATAAAGTATAAATAAATTCAGTAATGTTCTTGTACGAGATGACGGATGAGATAGATCGATAAACAGATGACCTATTAAGGAAATATAAACTCAGAATATGTAACGATGGATGGCCAGCTATGATGAGGCAGTAGACAATCCAGTGTGTATATAAACACGATGTAGGCTAAAAAGATTAGAACGAGAATATGCGTACATGTAAATATGTTTCTGAATCCCGTGGAAAACTAGACAGTAAAATAAAATGGGCGAATGAATAAACTGAATAAAAAATTACAACGGCAACAATAACAAGTGGTTGAACCATGAAAAATCAATACGAAAAAATCAGGAAGTATTCCTCAATAATTAAACAGAGTCAAACATGATATACTAGATTTACTAACAATAGAGAAATTTATTACTTACTTGAAGGCGTTGAGTTAGCTGATTAAGTTTGGCTTGCAAACTTTCAGATTCTTGTTGAGCTTGAGAACTTTCTGAACGATATGTTCGTTCAGCGGCAAGTAACTGTTGAACCTGACCACGTAACTGAATTTCTGAACTACGTAAAGATTGGATTTCTGATTTTAAATTTTTAGCCTCGGCCTCTAGTCTGTAATTCATACAACAATCCAAAATGAATAAAATTGTGAATAGGTCATACAAACCTACGAAATAGATATTGAAATAAAAGCAACAGCATATTAGTCATGACCTATATGTGAATATGCTGAACTGACAACTACAACCACAAGTCAAACTGTCAGTAAATTTATTTACACTCAGCGATGATGGACAGAGCCAATCGAAAATCTTATTTCGAACATATAGTTAGTGAGACCTTCATGAGTTTGGTACACCGAAAATTTAGGATCTTAATTTGTGATTTAATATGAAATGAATGTGTTCAACTAATCAGGTAGAGAGTTAGACTATGACAATAACGACAGCATCCATACATGGTTATTGATTCTTAATATTCAGAAAGTGTTAAATTAAGACGCATCATTTTATTTACCGCCAGACAGACAAATACAACGCAGAACTTCGTACGTAAGTACATCAATTCAGATCGCCATACCCCGTCAGCACAGAGACGCAACTGTCAGTTCAAATCCAAGAGTGATAGCGATAGTAGAAGTATTAGAAGGAATGGAGAAGATTAGTGTTTGAAGATACGATTCGAGAAGTATAATTCAGTGAGATGAAACTAGGAGAATCTAGGAGATTATCAGGAATTCAGAAGATTAGAATTTCAGAGAACACAGAGTGGATGCACCTGCACCATTGCAAACAATTCTGATCCATGTCGTTCAAGGTCTCTAATCATTGGTGACTTTCGTCTCGCGAGCCCCAACCAAGGTAGTCTACATCCACCAACATGATTCTGTCCACTTGTCTTTGATTTCATGGATTGTGTCAAGTTTAGCTCTGGCCGCCCCTAGCTTTCTACCAACATGCTCATACATCACAAAACATCGCTCGTCGAGGCAGTCGGTGGTTGGGCATATACAACACATGTCCCTACCACCTCAACTGATGAAGTTTCACTAACTCATCAACTGATCTGCCATCCTTCGTCTTCTTTGGTACACCTTTCAATGATAGACACTGCCACAGAACCTCACGGTCCACTGGGTCGAATGGCGCCTTAAGGTCCAAAGAAACAACTATTGTAGGACGCCTAAATGTGTGTCTGTGTTCCAGGACCTGTCTGAGTGTGAAAATGTGGTCTATACAGCCACGTCCAGGTCAAAAACCAGCCTGGTTTTCTCGAGTCTGCTCTTCACGAGGTTTCGTTCGTTAAGCGTCCAAATATTACTGAGGCCAATATTTTCGATATTATGTTAGTTAAACTTATTCCCGTGATTGTCACAAGACGTTTGTCCTTTATCATAAATTGGGAGAATCAAGGATTGGGATTACGTCCAGTCCCCAGATTCTAACTAAGATCCCAGTCAATATAGCTGCTAAAACTAGCCCACCATCCTTAAAAATCTCAGGAGTCAATCTATTGGGTCCTGCTGCTTCTCTCTCTCGCTTCAGATTTCCTATAGCCTTTTCAACTTCATTGTTGATAAAATCGATTTCACTAGGTAGTATTAATAATTAGCTCTAACTCTGGCAAAATGTTCTCTAACTTTCATGTTTTAACAACGCTGGTAAAGTTTGAAAATAGTAACACTGCAAATTCAAATGACAATACAAATACGAAGAACAAGTACTAACATAAGAAACACAATAATTAACTAAACCACTAATCTATATAAATTTAGAACTTGACTAAAACGAAAACTACGTACATACAGTTGAGTTGATATTACAAACTTACAGACAAAAATTTATCTTAAAAAATATTATATATATATATATATATATATTATTGAGTGATGCTTGTTAGTATGAAGCGATGAGTGGAAATATAATAGTGCTGTGAGAATCATTCGCCAGGGATTCAACATGTTTATAAAAGTAACCTAAATCTATTGAAAAGTTGTTTTATCGAATTTTCGCTCACTTCTAATCCTAGGCTTTTATTTGAGTCAGTTGATTGATTGTTGTTACATCTTTCACTGGCTGTAAGTTACACCAAATAAATCATAGATTTATTATTGAGTAGCGTACCACAAATACCCTAGTTATGTCTACAATGCGAATTAACATTTGTGTGAATAAAAACGTGGCTGGTTTTTCTGGTGTTCTGATTTGTTCATTGCAGTTATTGTGTAGGCTATCAATTGTTAATCTACACAGTGGCTGTGTTGGTGGACTTAGTAGGCACAGACTGAAGCGATGAAAAGATTTAGATTTTTTAGGTTAGACGGTTAATTTAGTGATTTTTTAGAACGCTCCAAATCTGAATAGCAATTACAGATGGTTTGTTACTAGGACTGATGATTAGACTCCGTACTCTATCAATTTTAGGTGATTGTGGATCCGTTATAGAACACTGGGCTACTGAGGAAGAGCACCTTGCGTAATCATAGGCTGGAAATAATTTAAAAAGAAGGCATACAGTGTAGGGATGAGGTGATTTTATGGTGCACTTTACGTCGTGCAACGAAGTCTATAGGTGGCATTTTTTCTAGATCGAAGCTCGAGTCGCGACGGATCATGCTTATGGATTACAAGTATGCAAATAACCAATGCCGTTGCAATGGTTGACGTGAGTGACGTAACAACTACAGTGTTATGAATATTGCTGAAGTGCCTGTTAAAGGGTTTGAAAAACATCAGAAAAGCTGACCAGAAAGAAAAGTAAAATAGAGACATAAGAGCAAAGGTAGGTTAAGTAAGTAGCTCTTTCTTTAATCTAACCCGGAGATATGCGCATTACTCGGTAAAGTGCCACAAAAAGCTCATTTCTAGTGGATTTCAAATATAAGACATTAACCCTTTAATCTATATTTATTGAGGGGTTGTCCATAGTTTTTTTCTAATAAATTTACTATAACTGATAACAAGTTTACACACTAAATTATGAAGACGAAGGAACTAACTTCGAACATATAAAGACTACCAAGATGCAACGATTCAGAGCAATATGGACGATGTTTTTTAGCACACTTATTATGAATTTATCCTAACGAACTGAAGTCTAACATTTATGAAATGATTTATCATGTTAAAACTCTATGTCCATAGTAATTTTTTCTTTTTTTCTAATACAACTTTCACTTAAAGGATCTGAATTCTGATTAGCTACTAAGTGATGGCAAGTTAGAAAGGTTACTTTTTGATCTACCCGGTGGCGTTAAAATAACCGAGTTCACTTTTGATACCAATTAAGTTCATTTAACTTTCACAAAATAGACTTCGAGTTTTAAAAAACCATAATATTGTGGATTTCATATATATATCGATCGATTTTACTATACGTAGTACAGGCTTCTGGATTTCGATAACACGGAATAAAAACTTTATGACTGTATCTGAGTACATAAGTTCAGATATCTAAAGTTGGAGGTTAGAATTATTTCTGTATCTTAAAAGCTGGTAGAATTATGAGTTAGCGCGACCACCCATCGCTTTCTGAAGGCTAAGTCGCAGACTCCAACTCTCCTCAACATTCTTTGGTTTGAATAGTTGGACAGTAAGTAAACTTTTAGTAAAGAGATTTTAGATATTCCACATGATGCCAATTCATTGAACCCATTCACTTGAACTACCTTTGAGACTGTATTATCTTAATACCACAGAATGAACTTGGAAATGCGTTATAAACGAATACAACAGAAATCAGTGCTTAGTGAGTAAAAACAGGCTTAGTTATTGAGTTCTCTTGATATCATGTAAGTAAATTATACAAAATTCTATTTGGAGAACCCGATCAAAAATAAGAGCAAACTAACTTCAAAGTATACTCATCCTTGTTGGCATTTTTACCACCAGATTTACAACTAGTTGATAATGGAGTTGAACTGCATGGATTAAGTTTACTACCACCAGAAGACCCAGAAGAAGCAGAATTTACATTTGAATTATTAGAAGCAGAAGTTGTTTTAGTTGATGTGATATTCACTGACGCAGGTGACTGTTTTGTTTCACAAGATTTTGGATTTGATGTTGTACAGTTTGATTTGGCCTTATTATTATTATCATTATTAGTTGAACTAGAACAATTGGATATTGATAAACTAGATGTGACTGAAGTAAGTGGTGAGACGGACTTCTTGTGTACTAATTTATCCTCCTTTACATCAGTATCCCTTCTAATACAATTTTCTATGTGATCGTCAGGATAAACTGTATCCGGAATAGTAGAGTTAGAAACAGATGGAACCTTTACAACGATCGTTTGAGCAGGGGAGACGGCCACGTACGATTCGTTCTAAGAATGTGACAGGCAGTTAATAAATAATTAGCAAGAAAACTGTGAAACAACTGAAATAGCTTAAAAAGGTCAGTTTTCATAATTACAAAATAGTGGGTTTATACAGAAACTTTTTGTATATTTGTTTCAAAGCAAAACAAAATTGCATGTGAACCAGACGAAAAGAAGTATTTCAAAAGTAATGGTTGATGCTTTTATTAGCAATCACAGTTACCACACATAGTTGCCTTGAATAAACTGGATCCTGACACAAAAGCCATTATTATATTTTATAAACTAGAGGGTAAGCAAAAAATATTAGAAACACTGATTAAAATAAACCCATACCAAATAGTGAATCGCTTCAGGAGACGTAGTACCACACGGGAAAATAAAGCGGTTCGACCTTGTTTTTTTCAGTAATGACAGAATAAATAAAATAATAAGCAAATAAACTTGGTTTCTCCTCAAAACTATTATTATGCAACATCTGTATGTGCTAATTTGCGGTAGAAACTCAAGTTAATGCACATTTGTTAAAATCATTTTAAAGTTTTCTAAATTAGGTAGTATAAACAGATGACCACAAACTCTAACATGATAAACAGCTATGGTGGCAACATATGAAAACGAGATAAATTTACTTAACATAATTCATGATCATCTGGTTGAAAACAGAGTCATAAAACAAATAAAAACTTATGCACCAGATGTTTGCTAGAGTACCTTGACGTTATATTTTTGTTAATTTAACGGTAATTCACTACATAAAAGTTTGTAACTGCCTTCAGTAATAGAAAAATTTAAAAAATACCTGTTCCGAAAGTGATGATGCTGCAGAAGTATTATTGTCCATCGGTTCGTCATTTCCTAACCGCAATGTACATTCTTTTGCAATACTATTATCATTTGAACATAAAGACGGATCCGTGCAATTATCACTACGAGTAGATGAATGAACAATACGTGTTGCACGGGAATGATTCAGAGACGTATTTTTCTTAACACTTGAGGTAGCATGATTTTCTTTGTCTCGGGAATGAATCATGTTAACGCTATTTAATTCAGATATATGTCCAGATGGTAATACATTTGGCACAGTAGACGTGGAAGAAGAGATAGCCAGCGTTGAACAATTATTTTCACAAACCATGTTCGAATGTTTAGATTTAGGAATGGTGTCTTTATTGAAAGAAAAAACAGAAAACGCGAGGCAGTTCAATATAATGAAGTACTTGAACAACAGATATTACGTTCCAACATGCCTGAACACAAGAAAAATGAAATTATCAGTCGAAAATAGGATGAATTGTAAATCAAATAGTGGTATTCTAGCTGATTTCTTATTACAACTATCACCAAACTAATGAAAATCTCCACATTCAATGAAGTATATTTTTAGTGTGGATAAATGATACTATGTTGAAAAAATAAATTGAAAATTTATAGGTTCTATGACTAAATGAAAGATTAAAACAACGAATTTCCATTAAGCTAGGAACCTTTAGATTTCTAAATCAAAATTTATTTCAATGTTTGTTTACAACTTACCAGACGGAAGAAAGACACCGCAAAGAAACCTCTCAAGGTTCTACTTAATGAAAGCATACCTAAGATTGTATTTCAGAAACAACTAAAAAAACAGTTAGGTAGCCATGCAAGTGAGGCTCATCCCAAGGCGCCTAAGACTGATATACAGAAAGCTGTGGAAACGGCAGTGAAATCTGTCAGTAAGGCAAACCAATAAGTTAAGGAGAATCAGCGGATTTCAGTAGTATCTACTTAAATGATAGATACTCCGACACCCATCCCTACTGGATCTGAACATGATGAGAAGCGCAGTCATTTTAAACAGAGGCCGATAATAAACCTAAGCAATGATCGCCAACAGTAATGGGTGGCGAAAGCAAAAGAGGTGGAAACAGCAGCGGCTATAGGTTAACAGTAGATAACTACACAGACCTATCAAGGAAACCAGTACTCGAAATCAGACTGTTAGTGAGATTCTCTCGGAAACAGATGAGACTATTATTCATTGTAGATCCCGTAGATAGAATCAATGGGATGAACACTACAGCGATCAGTTCAACTGGCATTCAACCACACATCGGTTACCAACGATCTCCAGTCATTCTCAATGGTCAATGATTATAAGTCCTCCGAGTCGTTATGAAGTTGATAAAGCAATAAGGAATCTGAGACGAGGGAGAGCAGCAGGGTCTGATAGATTGACCACTGAGATTTTTAAGAATAGTGGTCCAGTTTTAGCAGCAACAATGACTGGGATCTTAGGCAGCATCCGGGAACTGGACATAATCCCATCTGACCAAGATATTCGCTTGTTCACTTAGAGTATGCCGACGATATAAGTCTATTTGGTGAATTTATGTACATACGTACGAAGTCCTACGTTGCAACTGACTGACTGATTTGGTGAATACGCTGAAAAAATGCAGTATCTCCTGACTAACCCAAGTAATAATGAAAGCATGTTCGGTATGCGGTTCTCACCCTCAAAATGCAAAATGTTGCTTCAAGACTGGGTTGCATCGGCACCTGAACTAGTGATGAGGAGTGAAGTAGTTGAGCATGTAGACCGCTTCACTTACCTTGAGTCTCATCAGTGCTGATGGCCCGGTGACTGACGAAATCTCAGCTCGGATACAGAAGGCTCGATTGGCTTTTCCCAACTTGCGTCACCTATAGAGCAGGTGAGATATCCTTTTATTTACCAAAGGACGAGTGTACTGTGCAGCAATTCGCTCGGTTCTACTATACGGATGCAAAACATGGCTAGTAAGATTACAAGATTTTCGTAGGTTACTGGTTTTCGATCAAAGGTGTCTCCGAAGCATTGCTCGTTTATCTTGGGTAAGCAACGCTGTTGTTAGGAAACGAGTTCTAGGTAAGGATTGAAGATCAGTAGATGAGTTAGTGAAACTTCATCAGTTGAGGTGGTAGGGACATGTGTTGTATATGCCCAACCACCGACTGCCTCGACGAGCGATGTTTTGTGATGTATGAGCATGTTGGTAGAAAGCTAGGGGCGGCCAGAGCTAAACTTGACACAATCCATGAAATCAAAGACAAGTGGACAGAATCATGTTGGTGGATGTAGACTACCTTGGTTGGGGCTCGCGAGACGAAAGTCACCAATGATTAGAGACCTTGAACGACATGGATCAGAATTGTTTGCAATGGTGCAGGTGCATCCACTCTTTGTGTTCTCTGAAATTCTAATCTTCTGAATTCCTGATAATCTCCTAGATTCTCCTAGTTTCATCTCACTGAATTATACTTCTCGAATCATATCTTCAAACACTAATCTTTTACATTACCGCTAATTTTTCTACTATACCTACTACTACGGTATTCTAACAGACAGTTGCGTCCTGGTGTTGATGGGGTATGGCAACGGGAACTTATGTACTCATGTACGGAACTCCTTGTTGTCAGTCAGTTGCAACGTAGAACTTCGTACGTACGTACAAAAGTTCATGTTGCAATACCACATTGGCAAAGAGACGCAAATTTCAAATCGAATCCCATAGTGATAAAGATAGTGGAGGTATTAATGGCAATGAAGAAGACTAGGGTTCGAAGATATTATTCAAGAAGTATAAGTATAAGTACACGATCGACTACTTCACTCCCTATCACTAGTTAAGGTGCCGATGCAACCCAGTCTTGAAGCAACATTTTGCATTTCGAGGGGGAAAACCGCATCCCGAACATGATCGCATTGTTGCTTATGGTAGTCAGAAGACTCTGCATTTTGTCAGCGTCTTCACCGAATAGAACTATGTCATCGGCATATTCTAGATCAGTAAGCGACTTTCCTGGTAGAAGGTCAACCCCTTAAAAATCTGACGAGGTTAATCTTAACTCTAAGAGGATGTCTACGACAAAGTTAAACAAGAATGGAAAGAGTGGAAAGCCCTGACGGACACCACTTGATGTACGGCATTCAGATGACAGTTCGCCATATGCTCTCACCCGACCAGTGGTGTTCGAGTAGAGTGCTTGTATAAGGTGAATGCACTTCTTTGGTACACCTTTTAATGACAGACAATGCCACAGAACTTCACGATCCACTGAGTCAAATGCCGCTTTTAGGTCCAGGAACACGACTACTGTCGGACGTCTAAGTGTGTGTCTGTGTTCCAGGACCTGTCGTAGTGTGAAGATGTGGTCTATACAACCACATCCAGGTCGAAAACCAGCCTGGCTTTCTCTAGTCTGTTCTTCACGAGCTCTAGATAGACGTCTAAGTATAATGGAGGCTAACAATTTAGAAACTATAGTAGTTAGGCTTATTCCCTTGTGATTGTCACAAGAGGACTTGTGTTTTTTCTTGTAGATTGCGACAATTAGCGACTGAGACCCGTCAGAAGGGATTACGTCCAGTTCCCAGATTCAACCAAGGATCTCGGTCAGCCTAACTGTTAAAACTGGACCACCATCCTTAAACATCTCAGGGGTAAGCCTATCAGGACCTGCTGCTCTCCTTCGCTTTAGATTTCCTATCGCCTTCCCAACTTCATGTAAACTGGGAGGACTTAAATCGATTTGCCATTCAGGATGACTGGAGATCGTGGGCAACCGAAGAGTGGCTCGAGGCCAGTTGAACTGATCCCTAAAGTGTTCTGCTCGTCAATCCAATCTACTGGATTGAGAATGGATAATAAGACCATCCTTTTCCAAAATAGTCTCACTCATATTCGGGTTCCAAATACCGGTTCCTTTAATAAGGCGGAAAAGTTGTCTACTTTTGCCTATCGCCACTGCCTTTTCCATCGCTTTTGATTTCGCCACCCGCCACTGTTCGCGGTCGTTACGTTGGCTTTTTATCTGCCTGCGCCTAAGTTCACTCCGCTCCTCAACGCATTCAGAGTCAGGTGGGATGCGCTTTCGAGCATCCATCAGTTCAGTGGATGCGACTGAAATCTACGGCATCATCCTAGCCTTACGGTTTGCCTTGCTAGCAGACATCACTGCTGTTCCCACAGCCTTTCTGATATCATTCCAACCTGCTTCCGGATGGGAATCGCTTACATGGTTACCTAACTCTCTTTCTAGTTGCTCCTGAAATATATTCTTAGCCTTATTATCATCAAGTAAAACCCTAAGAGGCTTCCTTACGGTGCTTTCCTATGTCCAGTAAGCCTCAAACAAATACGAGGTCGCACTAAGGCATGATCTGAATATAAACATGTACCTCAGAACGAGCGACAGTCCTCTATCGAACCTCTCTATCGGTGGCTGATTGCGATATGATCTAGTTGGGTCCAACGTTAAGACGACTTCGGGGGTCGCCAGGTCAAAAGATGCTTTTCTTTATGTCTAAAGTAAGTGTTTGCTAGAAATAGGCGGTTTTCTGAGCACAGTTGCAACAGACAGTCGCCATTGTCTGTTCTCTGAGCCGCGACACCATAACATCCATCCAGGTGTCTTTCATTTTCACTTAGTCTACCTACTTGAGCATTGAAGTCACCAGCCATTATTACTATATCAGAGCGCTTAACTTTTAGGAGGAGGTCCGAAAGCTTACTGTAAAACTCATCTTTCACATCGTCTGGACTGCAGTCAGTGGGGGCGTAGGCTGATATGACGAAGAGGCGACGACGAGTGTCCCTATCCTTTCGAATCCTTACTGACCCGTTTAATCGGACGGCGCACAAGCGATTATCTACAGGGATCCAGTCAAGGAGAGATTGTTCTGCCCTATGACTCAATGCTATACCTACGTCAGCGAGACCCCGGGAAGCAGCATCAGGGCTACCGGATACACGAAGGGTAAATCGAACTGCTTCTTTATCTTGAGATGGTGAGGTCAAGTGAATGATGCTACTCGGATCCTGTATGCGCGTTTCCGAGACGCAGCACACATCGATGGCACGAGATCCTAAAGTCCTAGCTAATGATGCCTGTTGCCCTATTTGACACACTGTCTGTACATTAAAAGCTCCAACATGTAGTTTAGAACGGGGTTTAAGGAGACCAGGAACGACCTTTCGCGAACTCGCATCATTTGCATTAGCAGTGCACTGTGATAAATGAATGTGAGAAGAGTTAGTCGTGGAGATAAGGGAGGGATTAGGGGGTGTAGGAAGGATTTGATTTTGACCGGGGGAAGTCCTTGTTGTAACTGACTGACTGACTGGTAGTACGATGAATAATGATAAAAGAAAAACATTCTGAACCAAAACCGTTTTTTATGTTCAAAATGTCCTAAGATAAACTAATCATGATATTACTGGTTCCAATGTGTAGAAACGCAAATAAAATGATCTGATTTTAAAACCGCAGTCAATGAACGTTGTAACAATGTATATACGACTATAAAATGATAGTGGTTATGGAACCTTTTTCATCTTACTAGTTGATAAAAGTGAAGCTTCTAAAGTTAATCAATATATCCAAAGCATTAAAGTAGGTAGATAGTATCCGGTCACTCCATACTACCCTACCTCCATGAGTCTCAAAATGATATTGATAGATAAATTTTCGATCATTTTCAGAATTAATACTAGTATGAATGAGGGCATATGCAGAGGGAGTACATGTATGACAGTCAAAACTAAATACAGAACCAATTAATGAAATATGTGACTGTTTGTGAGGCTTAAATGTTGTAACGACATGGATTTCGCCGACATGGGCGGTCGTTTACTAATTTTCTGGGAATTTACCATTGTTAATTTTGTTAGTATCAATACCCTTCACTTGTCATTAGGTTTACCAGGAAAAAGTACCATAGAAGTGATAGATCAAACTGTAAATAATTATGAGCATTTACTAATACAATTCTGTAGGCGTACACAAAAATTACAATTAATATCATCCAATGTTATGCACCTACCAATGACTACAATGACGACGTTAAAGATCAATTCTACGAAAGGCTGCAGTCAATCGTCGAGAAATGTTCACCAAAGGATTTGACGATTCTTATGGGAGACCTGAATCTCAAGGTTGGAATGGACAACACTGGATATGAAGACATCATGGGACGACATGGACTGGGAGAAAGGAACGAAAACGGTAAGAGATTTGCAAACCTATGTGCCTTCAACAAACTGCTCATCGGTGGCACAATATTCCCGAACAAATGCATACACAAAGCTACATGGATTTCACCCGACCACACTACTCAAAACCAAATTGACCACATCTGTATCAACAAAACGTTCAGAAGGACCATGGAGGATGTGAGAACCAAGAGAGGAGCTGATATAGCATCAGATCACCACTTTCTGGTCTCCAAAATGAAACTGAAACTAAAGAAGCACTGGACTACGGGGCAGACAACATCACACAAGTTTAATATAGCATTTCTTCGGGATGCCGTAAAACTCAACGAATTCAGGATAGCCCTCACTAATAGGTTCCAGGCCTTGCACGATATACTCAATGGAGAGGACGCAACATTGGAGAACAATTGGAAAGGGATCAAAGAGGAAATCACTTCAACATGTCACGAAGTTCTGGGTCAAAGAAGTACCACCACAAGGAATGGATCTCTGTTGATACTCTCGCAAAAATTGAAGAAAGGAGGAACAAGAAGGCAGCAATCAATGTCAGCCGCACAAGAGCAGAGAAAGTTAAGGCACAAGCTGCATACACAGAAGCAAACAGGTAAGTGAAGAAGAGCATCAGATCTGACAAACGAAAATATGTGGAAGATCTAGCAATGACGGCGGAAAAGGCTACAAGAGACGGAAACTTGAAACAATTGTACGAAACAATAAAGAAGCTCGCCGGAAACTATCGTAAACCAGAACGACCAGGGAAAAGCAAGGAAGGGAAAGTAATCAGCAACACTGAAGAACAGCGAAATAGGTGGGTAGAGCACTTTCAGGAACTCCTAAATCAACCAGCTACACTGAACCCACCCAACATCGAAGCAGCATCCACGGACCTCCCAATTAATATTGGCGCACCTACGATTGAGGAGATGAGGAACAAGTACCATCAGATTGGAAAGAGGGATACCTCATAAAAATACCAAAGAAAGGAGATCTCAGCAAGTGTGAGAACTAGAGAGGCATCACTCTTCTTTCAATACCAGGCAAAGCATTCAACAGGGTATTGTTAAACATAATGAAGGATTTCGTAGACGTCCAACTTCGAGATCAACAGGCCGGATTTCGTAAGGATCGATCGTGTACTGACCAAATTGCTACATTACGGATCATTGTGGAACAATCAATTGGATGGGACTCACCACTCTACATCAACTTCATCGACTACGAGAAAGCATTCGATAGAGTGAATAGGAAAACACGGTGGAGGCTTCTTCGACACTACGGTGTGCTTGAGAAAATAGTTAACATCATACGGAATTCTTATGATGGATTCAACTGCAAAATCGTGCACGAAGGACAGCTGACAAATTTTTGCGAGGAGAACACCGGTGTCAGGCAAGGTTGCTTACTCTCATCCTTTCTATTTCTCCTGGTGACCGACTGGATTATGAAGATGTCAACATCCGGAGGGAAACATGGTAGATAGTAGACAGCCAGTATGTAGTTAGACGATTTGGACTTAGTACATGATTTGGCTCTTTTATCGTACACACAACAAATAAATGCAAGAGAAGACGACCAGTGTAGCAGCAGCCTCTGCAGCAGTAGGTCTCAACATACATAAAGGAAAGAGCGAAATTCTCCGATGCGACACAACATGCACCAACCAAATCACTCTTGATGGAGATGCCTTGGATGACGTTAACACCTTCACATATCTGGGAAGCATCATCGACAATCAAGGTGGATCCGATGCAGATGTGAGGGCGCGAATTGGCAAAGCGAGGGCTGCATTTCTACAGTTGAAAAAAATCTGGAACTCCAAACAACTTTCAACCAAAACCAAAATCACGAATTTCAATACAAATGTCGAGAGTTCTACTTTATGGAGCGGAAACTTGGGGAACTACGAAAGGCATCATCCAGGAGATACAAGTGTTTGTTAACAGTTGTCTACGCAAAATACTTCGTATTCGTTGGCCAGACACCATCAGCAACAACGAACTGTTGGAGAGAACAAACCAGATTCCAGTGGAGTAGGAAATCAGGAAGAAGCGGTGGAAGTGGATAGGACACACACTACGAAAAGCACCTAACTGCGTCACGAGACACGCACTCACATGGAACCCTCAAGGCAAAAGGAAAAGAGGAAGGCCAAGGAACACATTAAGCCGAGAAATAGAGAAAGATATGAAAGGAATGAACAAACACTGGACAGAACTGGAGAGGGAAGCCCAGGATAGAGTTGTTTGGAGAAAACTGGTGGGCGGCCTGTGCTCCATTGGGGGTAACAGGCGTAAGTAAGTAAGTAAGGCGTACACAAAAATGGAAATATACATTAAAAAAGGACAAAAAGAATGTGCGATAATTTTCTGAACAAATCGAAATATCTCAAGCAAATGTTATAAAATACCGCTCCCTTAGAAAATATAATCAATAAACTAATACTTCAGCTTGAATCTCAATACAACAACATTAAGCAGAAAGTATATGTATTGAATTGTTTACACAGCAAGTTCCCAAAGTATAAATTCTACCGGAAGTCTGGAGAAATATGAGGATAGGAATGCACGTAACTTCAATCAATACTAATGAAATACAACTAAAAAAACTTATCTCTCTTAGGAATTTTAAAACGGTGAGAATTCATCGCTACCAGTTGTCTGTTTTGCATGAATGATGTAAACACAAAAGAAAAACAAGATGCAATGAGTTAAAAATTACCTGATTTTAAATAACACCAAAGTTCCTTAGGTAACGCTTCTTCCAGAATAGAAAAAAATGTTATGTTTTGTGCTTCAACAAATTTTTGTCTTCGCTGTATAATAAAAATATATGAACCAAACAAACATTTCATAAGTTTTTGAATAGACAAATAACAATGAATGATCCAAGTGGGCATAATTTATTGACACAAGATAAACTTATTTCAAAACGAATCCAAAAGTAGTAAAAGTAGTAACAACAGAAGTAATAAGAAAAATAAAAAACCTAGACTTCGGGATTCAGGTTACAGGGAAAACAAACATTGGATAAGCTTCGGCATTTATGAACGATTTAGAATTATGACATTTAAACGCTTGCATTGTTGCTTAGAGTAGTCAAAAGACTGAATTTTGTCAGCGTATTCACTAAATAGAACAATGTCATCAGTATACTCTAAGTCAACTCGCGTGTATTCTGGTAGAAGGTCCACACCTGAAAAGTCAAACGAAGAAAATGTTAAATCTAAAAGCATATGTACGACAAAGTTAAACAGGAATGGAGAGAGTGGACAGCCCTGAAAAACACCGCTTGAAGTAAGGAATTCCGATGACCGTTCGTCACAGGCTATCACTCGACCAGCGGTGTTCGAGTAGAGAGCTTGTATAAGGTGAATATACTTCTTTGGTACACCTTTTAATGACAGACAATGCCACAGGACCTCATGATCAACAGAGTCGAATGCCGCATTTAGGTCCACGAAGACAACTATTGTCGGACGCTTATATGTGTATCTGTGTTCCAGGGCCTGTCCTAGTGTGAAGATGTGGTTTATACAGCCACGTCCACGTCGAAAACCAGGCTGGCTTTCTCTAGTCTGCTTTTCACGAGCTTTCGTCAAGCGTCTGATTATTATTGAGACCAATATTTTCGATATTATATTAGTAAGGCTGATTCCTCTGTGATTGTCACAAGAGGACTTTTGTCCTTTCTTATAGATTGAGATAATCAGTGATTGAGACAAGTCAGATGGGATTACGTCGTCCACTTCCAAAATCTCAGTCAATGTGACTGTCAGAAATGGACCACTATTCTTAAAAATCTCAGTGGTCAATCTATCAGACCCTGCTGCTCTCCCTCGTTTCAGATTCCTTATTGCTTTATCAACTTCATAACGATTCGGAGGACTTATATCCATTGGCCATTCAGGATGACTGGAGATCGTTGGTAACCTAAGTGTGGCTGAATGCCGGTTGAACTGATCCCCAAAGTGTTCTGCCCATCGATCCAATCTCCTGAGAGTGAATGATATAGCCATCCTTTTCTGAGGCAGCTTCGCTAACAATGTATTCTTAGTATCAGTTTTCTTGACAACGTGGACGCAAAGGTCATTGCCCTTCGAATCGTATGTCTCATCCCAAGAAGAAGCATAAACGTACTGAACATATGGTGAGTCAAAATCTAAAAACCTTTGTTGCACACCTGACATTTACGCTTCTTAAATCGACAAAATCGTACATAATGCCAACGACCACATAACCAGCATGCCATTGTTGGTTTGTTACGAGTTGTTATCGGCCACTGAACTTTTAACCTAATAACAGAATTGACACTACTACCGGTTAAATTAGGATTCGCCTGTTTAATCAACTCGTTGTCGTGTCTGATGCTTTGTAACCGCCTACACTCGTTTGTCAATGTTCTGAGTGTGACATTCTGGTCTTGATCCAGTCCAGTCAAAATTATAGTCCTGATCTCAGCGTTTTGTGGTTAATGAAGAGATTTGATATATATTAAGCATATAAATTATTCTTCTGTCAACGAGCGTAACTTGGACCGTTCACATTCTCTGTTGACGATGTCTGCTGGGACGGCATATTGATCGGCCTCGCGTTTCACCAAATTTAGACACTGATATCGAATACTAAACGATAAAGATGATTCAGCGAATATCTCTGACAATTGAATTACCGTCTTTTCGAAACTAAGCCTTAGAAGTAACTTTGTAACATATGGTCAGCATAACGTACATGTTCATTGCTTACTAACTTACGTACCGACAATCGAGACTTCCACGCGTCGTCTTGTTTATCGAATTCTAATCTAAATGTATCTTCCCAACGTTTGAAGCACGTGAGGAAAGTATTTCTACTTTCGGGATCATAAAGGAATTCTGGGATGCTGCTAGCAACTGCATCATAAGACGTACTTGAAATAGCCTATGGACTCAAGCAGTAGGTGCTGAGCTGTTAAGTCAGAGTATCCAACAACCGCATTTGTGCATCTAATTGTGCTTGCTGTTGTTGTAGTATTTGGTTGAGCTGGTCATCTGAAATGGACATTTCGGATTTATTTCTATTTTTCCTGTCGCCACTGTTATAATTCTCTCCCATTTTAACCCAGCTATTCCGAATGTTTAGTATTCTCGGACATCAATTCACTTGAGACGTTCTCCCAAATCAGAACGCGGTTGAACAGGAAATAGATATATTCCGATAACAAGGTTAGATGGAAGTAAGAAGCTCAAAAGGAAAATACGTTAGCATATTCATGGTTTTTACATGAGGAAATTCTAGAGTTTTCCCTCAGTATCGACTAGCGCTGACTGGATACGAAAGAGCCAATCAGCGTGCAGCAACACAATTAAGCCTTAATCCAATTTATGTCCAGCTAACACCAACCTAACGCACCTTGCGTTACATAAATTCTTTTTCGCATTGATTATGCTTGTTTCCATTTTGTTAATGAATATCTAGGAAAGCTGAAAATCTTTACACTTCATTACCACCGAATAACCAAACTAACCTGTGAAGTTTCTAGTAATCTAAATGTGAATACAAATATAGCACAGAAATTTAATTTTGAAACCATTTATCTGCGCATCTACCAAGATGAGACAAATTATTTGTACGACAATGAATTAATAAATAATAACTCAGAAAAATATACATTGGATTGATTGATAAATGCACACTAGATATAATGCGTCTACTTACCAAACGAAAATGATGTGAAATCATACTCTTTAAACTGAAACCCAAAGTTACAACGGGATAGCCAATGCTAGTGAGTACACAAAATGACAAATCAGTAAAATAAAAATAATGTACATGACTAATGCGCATAAACAGTAAAATAATGAGGTGAGAATCAAAAAAACATACATAACATAAAGTCAACCAAAAGCTTCAGTGATCTGGGCAACAAAAAATTACTGGACGTTTTGAAAAAAATTGCAGCTATGATGCATATTTGAAGGTTCCAAATACATGAAGGAGTGAACGATTATAATGAATTTGGTAGCTATTTTATTGGACAAGCATTTGCAGACAACTAGTAGTGATAACAGTGATTTTATGCTATGCACATTCATAGATTTCAAGGAGACAGACGTACCGATGACTAGGAAGGATAATGACAAGTAGTGTTGAATCTCATAGTTTGAAAATGGCAATATCGATTTGCACACTTTATAAATAAGCCAACAGCTAACCGGTCGTTAAAAGTTCCACGAAAACAACCAAAAGATTATACAAAAATTTGAAATCAACGAGAAATGATCCACCGTCGTTTGGATATATCTGAGCACTAATTCCGTATGTTGGTATCATTAGGTGAGCAGGTATGAGGTTAGACTCAATATACAAGGTATTGTAAATCTGTTGGTGAGGTAGTGAGTCTCCATCTATTGAGATGGTTAAGATATGTATCAAATGTTCAACCACTGCCTAAGGTCGAAACGCAATATCTGATGTAGGAATATATTGGAGAAAGCTAGGGGAGGTCAAACTAAAACGTAGCATGAGCACATTAAAGCCCTTAATGTTGGATAGGTAAGTACAGATCAGCTTGTCAGGATCCGTGTGATAATCATGATCCGTAGTTGGAGACGTAAGGTGATCGATGACAGGAGTATTCACGCTTTCTTCTTCTAGGTTTTGAGTTTTAAAATAATCCTATACTTTTTATTCCGCCAATTTGTTCATTCATCGAAAACCATGTTGTTCATACTTAGTATACTTGACTGATACTGTTACTGATTCTACTACTCTGGGATTCGTGTTGATAACTTCAGTTTACCATACTGGTATAATGTGGCAATTTGAACGAATACATTTATGTTCCAGGTTCTATGTTGCATGACTGACTGGCTTAAATACAATATAGCGTTAGTAGCACACCTTCATTTTTATTAACAGTAGTAAGGCGTAAAATGATGACAGCTAAAAGTATGGTTGATTGAAACAATTACTGAGTATTCTGCGATTTATTACATGCACTATAATGTCAAAATCTGAAAAAAACAAGTAATATGCAGTTCAAGTTGAGCATAAAACATGCTGTTTGGACAAAAGATGACAAAATAAACCGTTGCAGGCGGACAACGATAAACACCAAAAACAGTAAGTGTCACTAAAAGGTTTTCATTCATTCCCACGTAGATTGCAAACATTTTTGTCGGGAAGTAGCGAAAATTGAAGACATTAGTTAAATAACTTCGTTAAATGTAACACAGTCAACCATTACATCCATGATTGCGATTTGTTACATTACACAAAACCCTACCTAAACACACTCGATAGTCCATGTAGTTTTTTATACGATCAGTGGTATGGGGATACTAACTAGTGAAGCGTGAGCGTGGATTGTATGTCGGATTGTTTATCTTACGTAGGTGCGAAGAAACGTTAAAACCAACTACATCTGAAACAAGGTCTGGTAACAAATCAAATATTTATGCAGTAAATATGGTTCTCAACGCTTTGGTGATGAATAGCCGTTTCGACGAGAACACACCAGGAGACGAAAGGCAGACAGGACCCACATATAGACAACCTATCCAAGTTATTTAGAGTGATTTTCAAACAAACCACTAAGGGTATGCACTTTGCCTTTGGCTATACGTTCTTTGTATGAGATGTAACACTATTCTGCTGCCAAACCCAAGCAGAGAGAGTGAAGCGTCTGGTTCTGGAACTTACATGGAGACAGCTAGCTGGTTCCGAAATCCAGAGTGTAAGCAATCAAAAAAAAACCTAGATTACGTCATCTTTCAGTGATATTTCGTTTCTGGAGAATATAAATACCATATAACAAAGTTGATTCAAGTCTTTACAAAACCTAACAACAGGAAAAAGCAACTTACCAATGAGCTGCAAAAGGTCTGCAGAGATCTATACCAAGTGGCAGGCTTTTTGGATCCCGGAATCGAACAGCCACCTCGACATAGAAGAATAAAAAACACAGTGCAACTGTTGGGATATACACTCCGCGATCTAAAACGGGGGAGAACGATAGTCTCTTAAAGATAAATAGCAAGTATGCAAAAAGGAGATCAAGCATTTCCAGTCATATTTGACGGATATGTATAAGCCAGAACTACAAACGTCCGCTAAATGTCTCGCCCAAAGAACCTTTGTCTTACAATATGACTGAATAATATTGTCAGTCAGTCAGTCAGTTACAACGTAGAACTTCGTATGTCCGTACATCAGTTCAGATTGCCACACCACATTAGCACAGAAACATAACTGTCAATTCACATCCCATTACGCTAGAGATAGTAGAAGTATTGGCAGTGATAGGGAAGATTAGGGGTCGAAGATATCATTCGAGAAGTACAATCCAGTGAGATAAATTTAGAAAGAGAAAGATGAAAGCGATGAGGAGTTCAGAAGATCAGGATTTGAGAGAACACAAAGAGTGGATGCACCTGCACCATTGCAAACGATTCTGAGCCATGTCGTTCAAGGTCTCTTACCATCGGTTACTTCCATCTCACTGGCCCCAACCAGGTAGCCTATATCTACCAACATGACTCAGTGCACTTGTCAGTGACTTCATGGATTGTGTCATGTTTAGGTCTGGCCGCCCCTAGCTTTCATCCAGCCTACTCCTACATCACAAAACCTCGCTCGTCCAGATAGTGCGAGTTGGGCATATGTAACACGTGTCCCAGCCACCTCAAATGATGAAGTTCCACTACTTCGTAAATTGATGTAGCGTCCGTACCTAATACCCTTTTTCTAACAGCAGCTTACTTGATGGTCCCAGGATACACGAACAATACTTCTAAGTCTATGATCGAATACCAGTAACCTACGAATATCTTTTACTCTTACTGGCCATGCTTCGCAGCCATAAAGTAGGACGAAGCGAACTGCTGCACAGTACACCTTTGGTCAGCAAACGGATATTTCGCCTAGGGCATAAATGACAAAGGGTGGCAAAAGTCAATCGAGCTTCCTGTATACATGCTGAGATTTGGTTAGTCACTAAGCCATCAGAATAATATTGTAAGATCAGCATAATAGTAGCACTACTAATAATAGTAATGATAATTAAATCTTGATATTATTCAGTGATCTTAACATTGAATATTGAACTATATCATCGCAGGTTAGCAATTATCTCACCTGCTTCTGTGTGAATTATTGTACAGTATCGTTTATCCTCATAAAATATTAATGGTTACTTAATCGAACAAGTCTTGGTGTCTCATAGGAAATTATTGAGTAAATTCATGAGAATCATCTACTGGTTCCGCATTTTCTAAACAACTTTACCATATTTGTGTAACTACTTGCAGCACCAATAATTCGAAGAATGATCTACGTATATTTCTATCAAAATAACTCTAAGCATATGGAGCTTAAATCTCTATCAGACATAAACACTGAAAAGATGGTGCTTTGAAAATAATTAGTGTAAAATGAGATTATTTAAAATGGATTTTTGCCACTTGAAATCAAAATGTCATCTCAAGACCTTGGGATAAATTCAAAAGTAATTAGTCAAAGGTTAACCCACAGACTAGCTTAAATATTCGCATTAACCCAGACAGACTTGGAGCAATGATCTTTTAATGAATACAAATATTAAGTCAACTATTTCTTTCAATCAGCAGCTGAATGGAGTAAGAACAATTGACGGGCTTTCTGTATGAAACAATCTTAGACTAATTAATAAAATCCCCATATTTTCAAGCGACCTGTAATTTGGGTACCTTAGCTAACTTCCACAACACCAAAAATCGAACGTTTGCTTATAAATGAGCAGTGAATCTAATTGATCTATTTTAGACCTTTCTGTTTACTAAGTGCCTAATCGTTTCACTTTTCTTGTTTCCCCTCTCTTTGTCTTTACGATTTTGTTTTGGTTAGCTTGTGTACACTAGTTCAATCGTTTACTAACGTTACCATCATATATATTTCATTGGGGCATACCAATAAGTTAGTATGGAAAGTGATAGACAACAAATAAATGTGACAAGGATTCCATTTATAGCTTTCTAGGCTAAAGAATACATATCTAAATGTTATTTTTTGATTTTACCAAGTCGATCGAAAGATTCAAACTTTTACTTTTCAACTAACATGCCAATATTTAAAAACCTGTAGAAACAGGGAACTATACCGTACATTAAGCTTAACCGTGTTAATAAGCAGACTATAGTGTGATTCAATGACTTACGAACAAGACACTATCTGAATGACAGATCTCAGCTGCTGCTTGATTTCGGAACTAAAAATGTTGAAAACCGAGAACATCAAACGAGATTTTCCATCTTAAGGACAACTAATCCATCCGATACAAAATTTATCTACGAATTATTTACAAAAATCTGCTCTGTTCGACACTAATAGATAATTGTCACTTTAATAGGTCTTTATATCAAAATTGCAATGTAATTATATGCAAATATGCAGGAACTCAAGTTACTTATTGTGCACAGAGATATTCATAAAAGTGAAGAACGCATGTAATGCCAATTTTAAGACCAGTTACAGTCTAACTAAAAACCGGGAGTTAGATTTCGTAAATTAATTGAAAGTGTGAAGATGTACATAAAATCACTATAGTGATACAAACTATACGCATTAGCCAAGTAAATTTCATCTAATTACATTGCGTACCACCTTACAATCAACAACAACAACACTATGGGTGACGATTTAATGAATGAGAGTTTTGGAGTGCTAAAATGAAAAAACCGTACGCTAACAGACAAATGGACCGATAACAAAGTGATAACTACTCACTAGACCAAACTAGATACAAACCTCCGAATGGGTGAAACAATACTATTTTTATCGTGCAAAACAACATGATTGGGTAAAAATCATTAACATAATAACAAACATGATTAGCTGGTATAAGCGACTGACGGAAATCTGTCTTACAGGTGACTCACTGTATCGAATTAAGACTTGGCTACTAAGATTAAATCCTGCCCATCATACAGAACACTTCATGACTAACAGCTTCGAAGCCCTGGTAAATTGCATACAACAGAACAAATGTTGTAACTGATATTGAAGTTTTTGTCGTTTTCTTAAGATTAAAAAGAGATTTATGGGAGGCATTTGTTTATTATGAGCTAGTAAGGTTTATTTGGAGGCTTATTCACAAAAAGCATATTCATGATCCTTTATACAGCCTAGTAGCAGTTTCAGCATCATGCTAGTCCTAAACCTTTAAGAAAACACTCGCTCAAACAAATACAACTATTACGCATATAGAGTACTTTACGGCTAAAGTGAAAAAAGTAGACGAAATGAATCACCGTCATCGATAATAATAATAATAAACACCAAGCAGAAATTTCTTTAGTAAAAAAAAAACAGTAGAATTTACAGATAACGGTACGAAATGAAGTGAAGAAAGACGAGCGTATGGGTAAATAAGTAAATAATGTAAAACAAATTATTTGTAAACAGATTCCATTACTCCTAAATTACTGCTAGCTTTTACAATACAGTTTACGTTAACTGCCCCACAAATAAGTGATTGAATTCTTGCACGCAAGGCCACGACAATAATGTTTGATAATAGTGGAGAACGAATCAGATGAAAGAATGAAATTTTACAGGGACTGTTCAGGGGGAGAAGGCGAAATCAACAGCATTACAAAAAGAAAAGCCATAACACAAAACATCACCTTGACACTGAAGTATTCCGGAGTTTAGATTGGAAAGTATAATATTGTTTGAAAGAGGTACCATCCTGTTAATTTAGAAATATGCTTCGAACAAAAAGCTAACATCATACACTGTCATAACTTTATGGACTATTATCTGAATATCAATTGCGGCAAGAATTACATGTTAACTATGACAATTCTGAAAAGTAGTGATTAGTTTAGTGTCGTGATCAAGCCCTATAGGACTTCAGATCAACAAATTAAAGCAAGTATTTTTTAGATACGGAAATATATTGCTAGAGCGCCCTTTACACATTATAAAATGAAAGAAACTAAATCTATTGAAACACATGACAGTGCAAACGAAGAAAAAGTTAAATTGGGCTAATATATGGTGGTGTGTTAAGTGTTAAGAAACACAAGAACCAACGCTGTGTAATAACATCTAATATTTAAAGCTCCTCATCTACACACAGAGTTGAAGGAACAGAAAGAAGCAACAAGGTAAAGTGTATGATAACGAACTCTAACAAATATAGGAGACAAGCGAGAAAAGTGATGATCAAAGAACATAGAAGGTAATTTTTTACACAGCCATTCAGAAAGTTACAATCGAAATACTCAATGGGTTTGAAAAATGTCGTAAAAGTGAGGCAATTAAAACTAACCAAGAATTAAGATACACACTCAGAAATGAATAGTGAAAGATCTGAAGCAAACAATGGCCATCCATATCTCTAGGCGAAACTTGGTTTTAAGGATCATGAAGTACTTTATATTTGAATTCATGATTTTTGTTATTAGATAGAATTACAGAAAAACTCTTAACTCACCTGTTTGCCATAAAAGGTGTATCCACACACACGAACTACCTAGCAGGTAGATCAACGTAGTAGGTACGAGAAAGTAACAAAGCAAATCAGCCATAATTGCAGTGAGTGTAAAGAACAGAGCAAATGCCTATAATTTATAAAAAGTGTGATTTTTGATTATTAAAATCCAAAGTGAAAAACTCATATAATGAGTAGCAGAGTAAGTTTCTAAGGCATTTTTGAATTTATTTTCAACAGTGTTTGGAGTATCAAAAGCTTATTGCTAGCCTAACCCTAGATAGTCAGTCAGTCAACTGCACCGTACAACTTCGTACGTCAATAAATCAGTTCAAATTGCCACACCACATTAGCACAGAAACATAACTGTCAATTCACATCCCATTACGCTAGAGATAGTAGAAGTATTGGCAGTGATAGGGAAGATTAGGGGTCGAAGATATCATTCGAGAAGTACAATCCAGTGAGATAAATTTAGAAAGAGAAAGATGAAAGCGATGAGGAGTTCAGAAGATCAGGATTTGAGAGAACACAAAGAGTGGATGCACCTGCACCATTGCAAACGATTCTGAGCCATGTCGTTCAAGGTCTCTTACCATCGGTTACTTCCATCTCACTGGCCCCAACCAGGTAGCCTATATCTACCAACATGACTCAGTGCACTTGTCAGTGACTTCATGGATTGTGTCATGTTTAGGTCTGGCCGCCCCTAGCTTTCATCCAGCCTACTCCTACATCACAAAACCTCGCTCGTCCAGATAGTGCGAGTTGGGCATATGTAACACGTGTCCCAACCACCTCAAATGATGAAGTTCCACTACTTCGTCAATTGATGTAGCGTCAGTACCTAATACCCTTTTTCTAACAGCAGCTTACTTGATGGTCCCAGGATACACGAACAATACTTCTAAGACGCCTATGATCGCATACTAATAGCCAGTGAATATTAGTCTATTACTGTGAATATCCTGACTATAGCTGCTACTTTGTCGTAGTGGTTGGGCTTGCCTATCGTGATGGCCCAACTGAGCTATATTGGCTGGAATATATGTTCCTGCAGGTCATACCATGCTAGGCAGGTCGATTGGAGAACGATGAGATTTAAAGCAGCTACTCAAGGTCTGAGGATGAAGTCGTACTGCTGACTGTAGAGGGGTGTGACGGCAGTAAGGTGTGTCCCTCAAAAAACCAACATCCACAGCGGTGCTGCATTCTTACAAGGAAGGAAGAAATAGGTGACCGTAAAAATGTCACACCTTAAGTTACCTCATGAATTTCCATCTCCGGAGGTAAGGCCTTTTAAACAAGAACGGAGCTAACACTGAATACTGCCCATAAAAATGCCGCGCGTGACCGGCCTCACGCAGGTATCCTAGTGTTCTGCAGTCACGCTCACAGGTTTCTAAGACCAACGCTAATCCACGTTCCTTTTTAGGTTCCTCGAGAAACACCCTTTCACGATGTGGGCAGCCAGGAAGTGACAACCGCGAGACCCAATCAGTCAGAATCAATTCTTTCGCACAACTCCTAACATCTCTTGTCTCCACTTTTCCCCCTTTTCACATGCCTTTAACACCATGCACCGTTATTGCAAACGACTCGAGTTCGCGAAACGTTATTCCTGGTTTCCTGAAACCCCGTTCTAAACTACATGTTGGAGCTTTTAATGTCCGGAAATTATGCCAAATAGGACAAGTTTCCCGAGCTACTTCTGAAAAGTCAGACGATGAAAGTATCATCGATAAAAGCATGTCAATGACAAAGTTGGATAAGAATGGAAAAAGTGGGCAGTCTGACGAACACCAATTGAAGTAATCAATTCTGACGACAGTTAGCCATAAGCTCTCATACGACCAGTAGTGTTCGTGTAGATAGCTTGTACAAGGTTAGTGTGCTTCTTTGGTATACCTTTTGACGAGAGACACTGCCACAGAACCTCACGATCGAAAGAGTCGAATACCGCCTTAAGATCGAGAAATACTACTATTATAGGACGTATGAACGTGTGTACCTGTTCTAGGACCTTACGCAGTGTGAATATCTGGTCTATGCAACCACGTCCAAGTCTGAAAACAGCCTGGTTTTCTCTGGTCTGCACTTCACGATCTCGGAGTCTAGGTATCATAGAGGGGAACAATTTAGACGCCATGTACGTTAAACTGGTACCTCTGTGATTGTCACAAGAGGACTTTTGTCCTTTCTTAGATTGAGATAATCAGTGATTGAGACAAGTCAGATGGGATTACGTCGTCCACTTCCCAAATCCTACCTAAGATCTCGGTCATTGTGACAGTTAGAACTGGACTAACATCCTTAAATATCTCAGTGGACAATCTATCAGAACCTGCTGCTCTCCCTCGTTTCAGATCCTTTATTACTTTATCAACTGCATAAAGACTAGGAGGACTTAAATCGATTTGCCATTCAGGATGACTGGCGATCGTGAGCAACCGTAGTGTGACTGGAGGCCAGTTGAACTGATCCCTAGAGTGTTCTGCTCGTCAATCCAACCTCCTGGAATGAGAATAAATGATATAACCATCCTTCCCTGAGATATTTTCGCTACAAGATGAATTTCTAACACAGGTTTCCCTTATAAGTCGGAACAACTGTCTAGTGTTGCCTTTCGCCTCTGCCTTTACCATCTCCCTCGCTTTCCCCACTCACCACTGTTCGCGATCATTGCGTAGGCTTTTTATCTGCCTGCGCCTAAGTTCACTCCGCTCCTCATCGCATTCAGAGTCAGGTGGGATGCGCTTTCGAGCATCCATCAGTTCAGTGGATGCGACTGAAATCCAAGGCTTCATTCTAGCCTTATGGTCGACCTTACTAACAGATATCACTGCTGTTTCCACAGCCTTTCTGATATCATTCCAACCTGCTTCCGGATGGGAATCGCTTACATGGTTACCTAACTCTCTTTCTAGTTGCTCCTGAAATATATTCTTAGCCTTATTATCATCAAGTAAAACCCTAAGAGGCTTCCTTACGGTGTCTTTCCTACGTTCAGTAAGCCTCAAACAAATACGAGGTCGCACTAAGGCATGATCTGAATCTAGACATGTGCCCCAGAACCAGCGACAGTCCTCTATCGAACCTCTCTATCGGTGGCTGATGGCGATATGATCTAGTTGCGTCCAACGTTGAGACGACTTCAGAGGTCGCCAGGTCAAAAGATGCTTTTCCTTATGCCTAAAGTTGGTGTTCGCTAAGAATAGGCGGCTTTCTGAGCATAGTTGCAACAGACGGTCGCTATTGTCTGTTCTCTGAGCCGCGACACCATAACATCCATCCAGGTGTCTTTCATTTTCACTTAGTCTACCTACTTGAGCATTAAAGTCACCAGCCATTAAACTATATCAGAGCACCTTTTTGGAGGATGTCCGGAAGCTTACTGTAAAACTCTTCTTTCACCTCGTCTGAACTGTAGTCAGTGGGAGCGTAGGCAGATAGACGAAGAGGCAACGGCGAATTTCTGTATCTTTACGAGTTCGTATCGTTTGGTCGGACAGCGCATAAGCGACAGTCTACCGGGATCCAGTCAAAGGGAGCTAGTTCTGCTCCGCGACCTAATACTACATCTACACCAGTGAGGCCACGGGGAGCAGCAGCAGGACTTCCAGATACACGAAGAGTAAATCGAGTTGCTTCTTCATCTTGACATGGAGGTCAAATGAATAACACTACTCGGATCCTGTATGCGCGTTTCGGAGACGCAGCATACATCGATAACACCAGGAATAATGTTTCGTGAACTCAAACTGTTTGCTTCAGCTGCGCTAGGTGACAGACGGTCGAAAGAGCTGGTCTGGGAGATAAGAAAGTTATTAGGTATAAAAAGGTTGGACTATGACCAATTTGGTCTCGTGTGCTTTTATGGGTATGGGGGCGGATGTTACTTCCCGGCTGTCCACACCGTTGGAGGTCTCTGGTTGTCAGAAGGGCATCGGCCATGTAACTTCCGAAGGAACTCTGCTTTCATCATGGGACGTCATAAATCTTCTAAATGAAGACTTTCTAACTCCCAGAACAGAGTTTAAATGGTTTGGATTATTTTTTTCTTGTTAGCGCTTTTTAGCGAGTTAGTTTTCTACGGCATAGGATCGCCAACCCTCATCTTTTATCCGGGCTTGTAACAGGCAGTACCCCCGGAGGGTCTACTGGCATCGTTTGTTGAACGAGTGAAAAAGGATGTAAAACTGATTGGTTAGAGAAAAACGATAAAAATGAGCAGCAGTAATGATGCAGTGATTTTATTAATTATCTGTGAGTGGGTAAAATAGAAAACTAACAAGCAACAAGACATAAAAGTGGCTGATATTAATTTTTGAACCAAGTAATCGTGAACAAAATAATTAGGGATGCAACTTATAGTATGTGTAAATGACGTTGTAGCATAACTCAGTTATTCTTCCTAAAATTATAAACCAATCCGTACGTGTAATAATAACGAGATTTATTCATAACACAAATGACAGGTACTATTTAAAGGATCAGCTTTCAACCTCTTTAAGGAGGGACCCTGAGAGTTAAAGTCTAAACTTTTTGACTGCAGCGTCAGATAATACCGACTGAAATATATGAAGGATCTTAACTCGCTTCGAAGTCCCAGATGCACTTTACCGGAATACCGAGAAGCATAAACCTTGGATATACGGGTTTATAATCGCCGTCAAGCCATCGATAATCAAAATACAACATACCAATATTTTCATTCTACAATAGTTAATTTCCAGTGGTCGATCAGTGCGCAAATTGGTCTCTAAGTAAATTTATAGTGAAGTTAAAAAAGATGGAAAATAATAAATGATTGAGATTAAACTAAGGTGCTTACCAGGCCTTGGTATCTGAATGAATCATTAACTGTTCGTACCATCAGCCAACAAGACCAAATAAATTCGAAACGAAGATCCGTAAAAAAATCCAGCATTATTATGCTTGCCCAGGCCAACAGAAGTTTAAAATAAGTTCCAAATCTAAAGTTTTAGGAATCATGTTTATTATAACAGCACTCTTATTATAAATTACTAAAATCTAAGCTTCGGATATAAAAAACGAAATACTCTACCCAACAGTGATACGAAGCGCTCTATTTATGAGGGTAACAGCAGCAAATGGTTGTTTCAACCTATTAGCGTGACAGTCGAAACCAGGAGCCTTATTTTAATCAGGCAAATATTTATAACCCCAATCAGACGAGATATATTTAATAACGTCAGGATCCAGGATGCCACGAATAAGACAACCTGCGCAGTTCTTCAAAAGTTAAGAAACTGGTGAATTTAAACGAACTACACTAAAATATCCACAATTGCACGTCACATACATAATGCATGGAACTGTTTCAGTAGCAGAGTTCACGGAACCTGTTTTATGGTAGTCAAAATCAGATACACTAGACATTTTTAAACTTGATATCCCAACTCCTTGAGAGCAATTCTCACATAAATAATCGTTGTTTCACAAATAGTAATAATAACTTTAGTTTCGTGGTTTCGACCTATTAATTCACAAGACAACCATTACCATAAATCATAAAACAAGTGCATGTATAGTAAATTTCTACTACTGTGATAAAATCCACATATAAATGCCAGTTATCCAAACGGAAAGCGGTGAACTTGAATCCGTTGACTGTTACAGTAGTCACAAAGCGCGAAAAATATAGTTAATGACACCATACAATGTTAACTTTGAAAGGTGTCCGCCCCAGATATTAAGAAGCTTTTAACTTCAAGACTCATTCTAGACAACTTTACCATGGGATTATTTTGTTTAATTTGGTCTTAAACATATATCAAACCTTTTCCCCATATGTTGCAAAAGGATCAACTCATTAGCGAATTATAACCATAGATGAACACAACAGATGTTTGTCTACTAGCAGAGAACGGGTTTACATAATTTACAGGGGTTTACTAGACTATCAATATTTACTAAAATTCTTGAAAATAAAGTTCAGTTCTAAAACAACTTGGGATGAGAACTCGTAAGACTGTGATCCAGTACGACTAATGGAGTTGAACCTTTGGCAAACTTTGTATTTAACCGATCTTGAACCCCTTAACGTCCTAAATTGACACGTTCAACATATTGGGCCTTTCTAACCAAGACAATAATTAGGAAATAAAGTTCATATCCACGTCTACTGAGTTCGAGACTTTAAAAGCTCACATGAAATTGAGCGATTCGTTTGATTTGTTTCTGCGATTGTTTCTTTTTATTCTTCCATGCTCATAATTCCGTCTTCGAATATACATTACTTGAGTTCAGACACATTTGATCAACTAGACGGATTTTGGACCCCGCGCTTCTTTATAATGGCCTACTGAACACCATTCAATAAACATGGCAAGATTTTTGCAGAAGTTGTGGGCTAGGAAAGTAAAATCCACTCCTTCTTTTAATTATTTTGCAAACAGATTCCTATTTCATTGTCTGATCTGCTGAAATTGCTGACAATTGGTATTTTTTGCTTTGTAATGACTGCAGGATTTTGGTAATGTATGAAAAATCAAACTTAATGGAATAAATTATTTGGAAAATATGCTATGACCAACTGCATACTGACTCAGCTTCTGAGTCATACTTGCAAGTATAGAAAAGGACTATATTATAATTTGTATCACGAAATAAGGACTATGTCAGCAGCTTATTTGTGATTCTTCTTGTGTAATCACATTTGTAACCAAAATTTATCGTTTATTTGCATCAATTTTGTGACTAAACACTAAGTGGTTGATCGGTATGTATTAGGCTACTTCCACTGTTCAAAGAAATTCTATCTGCACTTCATTGGTCCGTGTCAGTGGCTTACAGCTTACGATAGTCTTTCAGTATTCCTTTTCGACTGCTCCACACAAAGTAGAACTATTTACACATATTTTTTTAATGAGGCTATCAGATTTACTCTGTTGGTACCTACCGTGCAAAAGAACGTTTATGCAATCGAGAGCTACGCTGCTTTATAAACCAAGAGCCTTACAATTCTATTGATCGAATTCATGGCTCAAATGTTTTATGCTTCATGCAATGACATGTTAAGTATACTGAAAAAATATAAAGCTATAGTCTGCGTATTTGATGCTGCATTTCTATTTGCAAGGAAAAATAAGTTACAATATATTATTAATAGCAATCTTGTAAGACCGACCGTATACCATCTCATCACACCTCTACGTAAAACTCTACCATTAAAAAGTAAATAAAAAAGCTTCAAAGTTGACCCAGCTCTTAGGAAGACTTCAGATATAAATAAAAGTCACCGCTTGCCGGTCCATGCTCTGAGCGACAATAGAAAGTGTACCACTAGTATCTGTTATGATAGTTCAAGACCATTCGTGTCAGAATGGATTTATTTTAAGTGACGTTCCCTAGTAATACGATAAAGTTTATTGTGGAACAGATAATAAATTTCGATCCATATCTGTGACAGGACCACCAGGTTTAGGAAGCTGGTAACGTTGTTGGACTCTTAAAAGATTTAACGACTATTCCCAGAACTCACACCTAATCCCATGGACCATCTAACATATAAACGAAGCCCAGAAATTTACCATTACATGAATGAATCGCAACCCCATTAAAACTCGAGCCAGCATCATGAAGATAAAAACTTCTAGAGATTTTTCAACAATTGATCTTCTTTCAGGAGACCCGCTTGTTGACTTGAAATATGTCGATGATACAGTCCTATTTTGTGAAGACGATGACAAAAAGTAGAACCTTCCGACCATCTAAGCAAAAATACAATCTCAGCACGGATACAGGAGGCTAGACTGGGAATCGCAAACCCGCGCCACTTTTTACGTAGGCGAAATATTCGTCCTCTAACCGAATGAAACGTGCAATGCGCAGCAGTTCGCTCCGTTCTAATTTAAGGAAGCCAAGCGTGGCCAGTAAGAGTGTAGGATATTCACAGTAATAGACTAATATTCACTGGCTATTAGTATGCGATCATAGGCGTCTTAGAAGTATTGTTCGTGTATCCTGGGACCATCAAGTAAGCTGCTGTTAGAAAAAGGGTATTAGGTACTGACGCTACATCAATTGACGAAGTAGTGGAACTTCATCATTTGAGGTGGCTGGGACACGTGTTACATATGCCCAACTCGCACTATCTGGACGAGCGAGGTTTTGTGATGTAGGAGTAGGCTGGATGAAAGCTAGGGGCGGCCAGACCTAAACATGACACAATCCATGAAGTCACTGACAAGTGCACTGAGTCATGTTGGTAGATATAGGCTACCTGGTTGGGGCCAGTGAGATGGAAGTAACCGATGGTAAGAGACCTTGAACGACATGGCTCAGAATCGTTTGCAATGGTGCAGGTGCATCCACTCTTTGTGTTCTCTCAAATCCTGATCTTCTGAACTCCTCATCGCTTTCATCTTTCTCTTTCTAAATTTATCTCACTGGATTGTACTTCTCGAATGATATCTTCGACCCCTAATCTTCCCTATCACTGCCAATACTTCTACTATCTCTAGCGTAATGGGATGTGAATTGACAGTTATGTTTCTGTGCTAATGTGGTGTGGCAATCTGAACTGATGTACGTGCGCACGAAGTTCTGTGATATAATTGTCCGAATAATATATGTAAGAGAGACGGATATGGCAAAAGACGCGAGGATTGTGTATCTGAACAGAATTTACGATTGTTTCGCTCACAACTTATCAATCATACTGAAGGTTCGTTTCTAAGTCAACCGCGTCTATGAATCATGTTTTTAACCACGAACTGATTTCACTTCCCAGCAAGTAATTCTATTACAAGTAGATCTGGACAGTTATGGTGAAGAAGAGCTCTCTTATGACTTTTCGAACTACAGCGAAAACAAAGCGAGAAAAGAAGTATCACCTAAGCATCTGATCACTGTGAGCTCATTTTCATATTCTGCAAAACAGTTTAGCCCTTATAATTCCGCTTTATTCGTAGATTATCTGTTCATTCGATAAACTACTGTCGACTTGTCCTGCATGTATACAGTTAGTTTTCCAATTCAGAAAGACAATGTTCTGGGTAATCATTTTTTTTATCCAATTATATTTTCTACTAATTCATGACTCAGCTAATAATTTTAGTGGTCAGTACGAATTTTACAATGACTTAACACTGTATTGACTACTTCAACATGACAGGTTAAGTAGTGCTTCGGTTATCTATAGACACTGGCCATGCTGTTGCCTTTTTTCTCTATCTCTTTTCAGAACGCTATTCACGGTGGGAAGTCCTTGCCGCCACTAGAGAACAAGCTCTCTAGGTACACGCTTGTATGGATCACAGCTCGTATCAAGCGCGTGCCAGTTGATTTTTCCCTACAAATTCACTATTGATCTCAGCAAACCGCCAAAGAAATCTTCTGTGCACTTTCCTTATTTTTACTCGCCTATTGAAAATGTGGCTGTACTATACTACTTCAGTCAGTGATATGATGTAAATGTGCTATCAGAAACTGATTCTTATACTTAATTTAACGGCGATAACTTTCACAGTAAATGTGAAAGCATTTGTGACAGTTTGATCTTGTAATGTACTTTTATTTGAGAATAAATATTATTTAAAAGAATATTTAGTGTCCTGCTAACTCCGCCATTAGAACCTTCGGGGCTACTGCCGGTCCCAAGCCAGGGTAAAGGAGGAGGGTTGGACATGGGGTTAGCGGCCCCATTCCGTCACAAACTAACTTGCCAAAAAAACGCTAACCAGAAAAAATAATTCAAACCATTTTAAATCTGCCCTGGGAGTTGGAGGAAGGATTATGACGTCGCGTGGTGAAAGCCGAGTTCCCTCGGAAGTCACGGGGCCGATGCCTCTTCTGACAACCAGAGCAACCATTTTTTTAGGTACATGGAACGTTCGTATATTGTGGGAGACTGGAAGACTATTTCAAGTTGCGGCAGAAAAAGATACAACTCCGAGGTGCTTGGAATCAGTGAAACACATTGGACACAAGTAGGACAACTGAGACTAGCTTCAGGGGAACTGCTGTTATACTCTGGTCATGAAGAGGAAAATGCTTCACATACACAAGGAGTTGTACTGATGCTGTCCAAACATGCGCAAAAGGCACTGATAGCATGGGAATCTCATGGACCTAGGATCATCAAAGCATTCTTCAAAACAAAGAAAGAGGACATTATAATGAACGTCATGCACCTACCAACGACTACAACTACGACGATAAAGATCAATTCTACGACAGGCTGCAGTCAATCGTCGACAGATGCTCACCAAATTATTTGACGATTCTAATGATAGACCTGAATGCCAAGGTTGACATGCTCAATATTGTATATCAAGACATCATGGGACGATATGGACTAGGAGAAAAGAACGAAAATAGTGAGAGATTTGCAAACCTTTGTGCCTTCAACAAACTGGTCATCAGCGGCACAATATTCCCACACATACGCATACACAAAGCTACATGGATCACATTACTCAGAACCAAATCGACCATATCTGTATCAACAAAACGTTCAGAAGGACCATGGAGGATGTGAGAACCAAGAGAGGAGCTGATATAGCATCAGATCACCACTTTCTGGTCTCCAAAACGAAACTGAAACTAAAGAAGCACTGGACTACGGGGCAGACAACATCACACAAGTTTAATACAGCCTTTCTTCGGGATACCGTAAAACTCAACGAATTCAGGATAGCCCTCACTAATAGGTTCCAGGCCTTTCAGGATCTACTCAATGGAGAGGACGCAACATTGGAGAACAGTTGGAAAGGCATTAAGGAGGCAATCACTTCAACATGTCAGGAGGTCCTTGGTCGCAAGAAGCAGCATCACAAGGAATGGATCTCTGTTGATACTCTCGCAAAAATTGAAGAAAGGAGGAACAAGAAGGCAGCAATCAATGTCAGCCGCACAAGAGCAGAGAAAGTTAAGGCACAAGCTGCATACACAGAAGCAAACAGGTAAGTGAAGAAGAGCATCAGATCTGACAAACGAAAATATGTGGAAGATCTAGCAATGACGGCGGAAAAGGCTGCAAGAGAAGGAAACTTGAAACAATTGTACGAAACTACAAAGAAGCTCGCCGGAAACTATCGTAAACCAGAACGACCAGTGAAAAGCAAGGAAGGGAAAGTAATCAGCAACACTGGACAACAGCGAAATAGGTGGGTAGAGCACTTTAAGGAACTATCGAATCGACCAGCTCCACTGAACACACACAACATCGAAGCAGCATCCACGGACCTCCCAATTAATATTGGCGCACCTACGATTGAGGAGATCAGTATGG